TGGGTCTCGAACCCGCAGACTCAGGCAATCCACTCACCTCAGCCTCCCAAAGCGCGGGATAACAGGCTGAGCCACTGAGCCTGGCTGGAGAGTGATATTAAGCTGCATTTTAGCTGGACATGGTGGCTCACGCCTGTAACCCCAGCACGTTGGGAGGTGGAGGCAAGAGGATCACCTGAGTCCAGGGGTTTGAGACCTGCTGGGCAACTTGGTGAGACCTCATGTCTACAATAAATAATTTTTTTTAAATAGCCTGGCATGGTGGCATGTGACTGTAGTTCCATCTACCTGGGAGGCTGAGGCAGAAGGATTTCCTGAGCCCAGTGGACAGAGGCCACAGTGGCCGTGAGCATGCCACGGCACTCCAGCCTGGGTGATGGAGTAAGACTCGAAAGAAAGAGAGAAAGAAAGAGAAAAAGAAAGAAAGAAAGGAAGGAAGGAAGGAAGGAAGGAAGGAAGGAAGGAAGGAAGAGGATTTTAATTTCAATAGCAAGATTTTGAAACTCTTTTTTTTTTTAGTTGGAGTCTCACTGTGTCGCCCAGACTGGAGTGCAGTGACACACTCCAAGCCACCGCAGCCTCTACCTGCTGGGCTCCTGCAATCCCTTCGCCTCAGCCTTCCTAGTAGCCGGACCTACAGATGCGCACTACCATGCCCGGTTAATTTTTGATGTATTGTAGAGATGAGGTCCCGCCAAGTTGCCCGGGCTGGTCTCAAACCCACGGGCTCAGGCAATCCTCTCGCCTCGGCCTTCCAAAGTGCTGGGATTACAGGCTGAGCCACTGAGTCCGGCCGATTTGGGAACTTTTAGTACGGTAATATAAATTGTGCAACTTCAAGGACAATTCATAATAATCAACATTCACGCACTTGACTGGGCGACAGAAACGTTTTCTCAGGAGCAGCCGGCAGGGTGCATTTTGAAAAATGTTGAACTAGGTGGAGTATGAACCCATTATGAACAAAACCACGGAGTTGGTGGATGCCATAGAGAATAATCTCGGAAGAGTCTGAATTTACATGATCACCATTTTATAATCCACCTCTCTTCAGTCTTCTCTCTGTTGCTGGTAGATTGAATTTCCTTGGTTTGTGAAGCACTTTTTGGTGTCTGTACCATTTCTTGGGAGTGACTGATACAGTCCTCAACATTGATAACACAATGGTTAGCAAAATCACTCTACATAATGCCACCATCTTTTTTTTTTTTTTTTGAGTTGGAGTCTCACTCTGTTGCCCAGACTGGAGTGTAGCGGCCACTCCTGGCCACCGCAGCCTCAACCTACTGGACTCCAGCGATCCTTCTCAGCCTTCCAAGTAGCCGGAATTATAGGCGCGTGCTACCATGCCCGGCTAATTTTTGATTTATTGTAGAGATGAGGTTTCACCAAGTTGCCCGGGCGGGTCTCGAACCTGCAGGCTCAGGCAATCCACTCACCTCAGCCTCCCAAAGCGCTGGGATTACAGGCTGAGCCACCGAGCCCGGCAATCTCTGTTGTCTTAAGGCACGCAGTTTGTGGAGCTTTGTTACAGCAGCTCTTGGGAATGAGTACATACCCAGAGGTGCAAAGCCCCCTACAGTTCCCCAGGTACCCAGAAAAGTCTTCAGACAGAGAACAGAGATGCAGGTGCTTGACGTGGGATGCCGCCATGAGCTCAGAGGTGGACCCAAGAGAACACGGGGTGCCACATCAGCTGATGCCTGCCACCGTACATGTTCCCATTTATGAAAAGACCTCACATCGTGGCTAAGCACAAAAGTTTAGAAGTCAAGTTCTGAGCTGGGCGCGGTGGCTCATGCCTATAATTCCAGCACGTTGGGAAGCCAAGGTGAGACAATTGCCTGAGTCCGCAGGTTCGAGACCAGTCTGGGCAACTTGGTGAGACTTCATCTCTACAATAATAAATTAATTAATTAAATAAAATAAGAAGTCAGGTTCTGTCACAAGTTTCAAGACCTTGGGCAAGTTACACGATCTCTTCCTTACTTGTAAAATGGTCATGAAATCATACTTCTCAGAAAGCAAAGTGAGTATAAATGAATTCACTTCTATAAAGTACCTGGCATGATACCAGACACACGGCACTATTCAATAAACATTACCTAGTACTCATAGTGATTATTAATTACTAATATTATTAACAATTTTTTTCAAGCTTTAGAGTCAAAAAGACTTAAGTTTAAATTTCAGCTTTGAGCCGGGTGCAGTGGTTCATGCCTGTAATCCCAGCACTTTAGGAGGCAGAGGTGAGAGGATTGCCTGTGCCCAGAGGTTCAAGACCAGCCTGGGCAAGTTGACGAGACCTCTCTACAATCAAAAAATTAGCTGGATGTGGTGGTGCACACCTTTAGTTCTAGTTGCTTGAAAGGCTGAAGTGGAAGGATTTCCTGAGCCCAGCAGGTTGAGGCTGCAGTGGCCATGAGCATGCCACTGCACTCCAGCCTGGCCACAGAGTGTGACTCCAACTCAAAAAAAAAAAAAAAAATCAGCTTTAGAGTTGAATGACCTTAGGCAAATTACTTATTTGAGTTTCAATGTCTCCATAAAGATCAGAACATTATGCCTGAAGCCCTTGCTAGTGATAATTTTTCTTCACAGTTCTAGGAAGCATGAAAGGATTGTCCTGGGTGTGTTTCGTCCTTTCTTTCTTTATTTTTTATTTTTTATTTTTTTGAGTAGAGTCTCACTCTGTCCCCATGCAGTGGCACAATCATGGTTCACCGCAGCCTCGACCTCCCAGACTCAGGACATCCTTCCACCTCAGCCTCCCGAGTAACTGGGACTACAACCACTCGCCACCATACCCAGCTAATTTTTTGGTTTTTTTGTGCAGACAAGGTCTCTCTATGTTGCCCAGGCTGGTATTGAACTCCAGGGCTCAAGCGATCCTCCAGCCTGGGCCTTCCAAAGTGCTGGGATTCCAGGCCTGAGCCACCACACCAGGCTTCTGGCTGTCTCTCAGTGCTTTCCCCCACACAGCACTGTGAGGTTCCACGTGCTAGTTCTGAAGTCCAGAACCTTTCCCCGTATCCACGGTAAAGCCAGAGCCTCAAGTGTGGAGGCCCTTCTCTTGACGCTGGCTGCTGGTACGAATGCGTCACCCGCTGTCCCCTGGAACCTTGTCCCTACCCTCTGCTCACCACTGTCGCCAGTCCCATCATGCGGCATATCCGATTTACGCTCATAGAGTCCAAATCCCCAAGGTGACACGTGGCGTCTGGGCTGCGGCCCGGCTGACCCAGGGCATTCCTTTGAGGAAGGAAAGGAAACTCAGATGCCCGCCACCTGTTGTGTCTTTGTGTCTGAGTTGGAGACATTGGCAGTAGCTCTGTGGAAAGCGGCTGGAGACTGCCCGCAGGCCAGGCAGGCCGGTCCCCTCTCTGGCTTCTCCTTGGCACACAGACAGTGAGGCAACAGGCAGGGGTTATGTGGTTTGCCATCGGCTTGTGACACCCTTCCACGCCCCTGTCACTCTCAGCTAGCAGTCAGCCAAGGGCTTGGGGGAGTGAGCAGAGGAGGGAGGGTCACATCTGCTGGGCCCCTCACTGTCCCACATGCTAGGTCTTGCTGTCCAATGTCACACACTGCGATGGAGTCCTGCAAAGTGGCTGGCGCGAAGGAAGAAACTGAACATTAGCTGGGCTCGGTGGCTCAGCCTGTAATCCCGCGCCTTTGGGAGGCTGAGGTGAGTGGATTGCCTGAGCCCGCAGGTTCGACACCCGCCTGGGCAGCGAGACCTCACC